GGGGGGGAGGAGGGAAGGTGAGAGGGAGTAGACCAATAGGTCCAAGGAGATAGTTTTGTATCATAAGAAAGGACATCAGTCCCTGAGTAAATGATCTAGGAAAGCACATGGCACTTTTTGTGGTTCTGTACTTGAACAGCCACATTTTTAATTGAGCTCATAGGGAACAATATTTATTGTATTTTAATATGGGCTATTAGTACTTAGAATCATGTTTTTCAAACCATTTGTTTAATGTATTTAATGTATAATTAGTGTATGTGCATATATTTATACTAAACAACACATATTTTTCATGTTTCAGAATACTCCTGATTAGGAATGTTAAATATCAGTTAATTAAATAGTCGGTTAACCTCATGAATTCTTATCAGTTAGTCAACTATTCTATAGTCCCTGGGGTTGGGGCTGGCAGCAAGTGCACTCTGGCTCCACTCTCAAGGAGCCCCCTGCTATCCTGTGCTGCTGCCTCTGTATAAGAGGTAGCAGCACAGGGTGCCAGGCAGGAGCTGGTCTGCGAGGGAAGCCTGTTTAAAAACCAGCTCCCCTCGCAGACTGGCTGCCTGCTGCACTGTGGCCTCTGATAAAGAGGAAGCAGCACTTGGTGGCAGCAGGCACTGTCTGGGATGAGGGGTGGGGGAGTCTGAGCTCCTGGACCAAGCATGAGCCGGAACTGAGCCAGGCTGACTGCCCAGCTGGCTACTAATACATTTCAAATGCAGAGCTGCAGCAGTGGTAGGTCCTGGACCCAGCACAAACCAGGACTGTGCCAGGCTGCTAGTTAGCCTGCTAAAAAATTTGCTGGCAAGGGGCAAAGGAAATGCATTAACCTATAAGCTTTTCTCATTGGCTAATCGACTTCACTATTGTATCCCTATTCCTCACTTGACATTTTTATAAGGAAAGGGTGGCATGATTAGGATAATAGAGAAGATTAGAGGGCAGCAACTGAAAAATTCAGTGCTAAATGATAACATCATTTACATTCAGTATGCAACTAACCATATATTTTAGTGTGTAAAATGTAAAATGTTGTTTTAGATCAGTGCTGGCTGACTCCCTAGAAGATGAAGCTAAGAATAACATCACTATCTTTACAAGAATACTAGACAGACTTTTGGATGGTTATGATAATCGTCTTAGACCTGGATTAGGAGGTAACAAAACATTAAAACTTGATTTAAAAAAATAAAATCAGGTTCTATGTTGCATGATTTGTTTAAACAAATATATTTTTTCCTTTAGGAACTCT